GAACAATCAACTCCTGTTTGACTCTTTATGGATCGTTTGGTTGTCTCAGTGAATTGAATGGAATTGAAATATTCCTCACAATTCTTGATTCGTTTTTTGTCAAACCTCACGCATCAACAATCAAATTGTTGCCCTAGAATTACTGCTTCTGACTCCTCACAAAACGATCATGAACAATCAACTCCTGTTTGACTCGTTATGGATCGTTTGGTTGTCTCAGTGAATTGAATGGAATTGAAATATTCCTCACAATTCTTGATTCGTTTTTTGTCAAACCTTACACATCAACAATCAAATCGTTGCCCTAGAATTACTGCTTCTGGCTCCTAATAAAGCAATCCTGAACAATCAACTCCTGTTTGACTCTTTATCGATCGTTTGATTTTGACAGATCATTCATTATTTCATTACAATAAAGACAGATCATTTATTATTTCATTACTTGTCATTGGCGGTGGGCACATCATGATGTAGGTGATACTTGCTGGATCTCATTCTATTTGATGATTCAAAAGTTAGAGCTCTTGCTTTTTCCAATGGCGATGGATGGTAACGATGGATGGAATATACCAAAGCAAAATATTATGATGATAAAACGCAGAGATTCTGATGTAAGTGCACATTGAATATCTGTGCAGGGAAAGAATGGCCAACCAGTCGCAGAAAACGAGTGGCCTAGGCCCCCCAAATTCTGCGACATCTCAGATGTCACATCTTGAGTTTAAGAATGGCAAATCATTCATGGAAATCAATGGTTTTTGCGACACGTCAGATGTCAGAATGGCCAAACAGTCGCGGAAAACGAGTGGCCTATGCCCCCCAAATTCTGCAACATCTCAGATGTCACATCTTGAGTTTAAGAATGGCGAATCAGTTGTGGAAATTGATGGTTTCTGCGACATGTCAGATGTCAGAATGGCCAAACAGTCACAGAAAACAAGTGGCCTATGCCCCCCAAATTCTGCAACATGTCAGATGTCATGATATTAGCTGGATTTAGATATTGTTGAATTCTTGGGCTGTCAGCAAATGCTATGGTAAATGTGGATCGGTTATAGCAGTATGACAAAAAGTAGTAATATTTTTAAGTTCACAGATGCATCTCCCTGGATCCTGTGTATTTTTCTTTGTTTTGCTAAGCATGTTCAAAAGTTTTTAGATGGCCAAGAGTTAGAGTAGTGAATCAAGTTGATTGCATGTCTTCAGCAAACGCAGAAATTGAGGGGTCTTTTCCGCTACTGTTTTGCCATTCTTTGGTTGCGCGACTGTTTGGCCATTCTTTGGTTGTGCGGATATTCAATATGTGACATCTGACCTGTCGCAGAAATTGGGGGGCATAGGCCACTTGTTTTCCGCGACTGTCTTGAATCATGACCTGCAAGTGTTTGAATTTTACCTATCCCTACCCCTTTCTTTTTCTTAAAAGACCCTATAATTCTGCGACATGTCAGATGTCACATCTTGAGTTTAAGAATGGCGAATCAGTTGTGGAAATCGATGGTTTCTGCGATACGTCAGATGTCAGAATGGCCAACCAGTCGCGGAAAACGAGTGGCCTATGCCCCCCAAGTTCTGCGACAAGTCAGATGTCACATCTTGAGTTTAAGAATGGCGAATCAGTCGTGGAAATTGATGGTTTCTGCGACACGTCAGATGTCAGAATGGCAAAACAGTCACGGAAAACGACTGGCCTATGCCCCCCAAATTCTGCGACATGTCAGATGTCACATATTGAATATCCGCGCAACCAAAGAATGGCCAAACAGTCGCGCAACCAAAGAATGGCAAAACAGTAGCGGAAAAGACCCCTCAATTTCTGCGTTTGCTGAAGACATGCAATCAACTTGATTCACTACTCTAACTCTTGGCCATCTAAAAACTTTTGAACATGCTTAGCAAAACAAAGAAAAATACACAGGATCCAGGGAGATGCATCTGTGAACTTAAAAATATTACTACTTTTTTCTTTTTCGTAAAAGACCCTATACTTTTTTCCTTGATGGTGCAGCATTGAATCTGCTAGCCTTCATCTTTTTGAGAAATTCTTCACGAGGAGGATATCCTTTGCCATATACCCCACCCTCTCTTCCGTTCTGGACCAAGTACCTTTTCACATGTGAGTTGACAATTGCCCAAACTTGAGAGTTGTATTCAACAACTTCCAACAGCAGGTTTAAAGCAAATTCATGATTCTCTTGCAAGTAAATTGTGTATTGGTCCAGATCTGTCTTTTTGTTGACTTTAGCAACAAAATTAGATCCGATCTCCGTTATTCGCAACGCATTTTCCATCACAAAATCTTTGAGAGATGCGGACTCTGAAGATTCAGCAATAAGAGCTCGCTGTTGATGGCTGTATCGTTTTAGCCGTGGATAATCCAGTCCAAAGTCGTCCTTAAGCAATCTGAAAGAAGTACAAACTTCTTTTTGGCCTCTATCTGGAAGCAAGTTCTCAGCTGCAGACATTGTTTGTTGCTTCAATGCAAATACAAATTCCTCTCCAGTTAGAAGGGCCATGCTCAAGTTGACCCTGTTCGCAAAAATAAGTGACGTGTAGCACCTCAGCACCTGTATGTTTTGGATGCGTGGAGGAGATTTGTTGACAATCAGCCTCTTCAATAATTTCAACCAGCCGCCCACAGTGGTGAGGTCAAAGGTCTGACACATAGCCATGAATAATAACTCAAAGGATAGATCGCCAGCACATTCAACCTCTTCCTGTTCACTCCACTTTGGGAACAAGATGTCGATAGCTGATTCAATATCCTTTTCCTTAGGAGTGACAGCCATATACTGGTTGTTCCAAAGCTCCTCATGACAGCCTTGTTTGCTTTCAGGAAAGTTCATAGGCACAATTGGAGAATCATTTTGTGATGCCATGCCCTTTTCAGCAACATAGACCACAGCGGTGATAGGAGCCTGCTCGTATTTTGCCGAGCTCCTAGCAAGCGACGACTCCAAATCTTTGGATGTATGGACTCTCTTTGCACAGATATTAGGCTGAAAGCATGTAATGCTTATCTCACTGTCATCAGGTTCCTTTTCATTCTCAGCCAAGATGCCAGGCCGAATAAAGAGTGACAGGTTCAGCAACTGGTTCCTTCCAAGATGAGTGATTTGAGACTTATCAAAATCGAAGTTGTTGCTTTCTTTATCTTCCTTGTTTCATTCACTAGCAGTACTGGATCCATCACCAGTTATAGCAGACAATGAATCAATATATTTTACTGCAAATTTCTCACTTCTGCTTTGGGGTTCTTTGTCTTCGGAATCTGATTCTGAAATGCCAATTCAAATGTGCTTCCAACACTCGTCTTTTTTGTGACAAATTTGTCACAAAAAAAGACGACCCTTGAATGGATCTTGCAGGCAGGCGTGTTGCGAAGTTTGAATATTCAAGACTTGGTCATTTGAACGATTGAAAAGGCGGGTCTTTTTGAATCTAAGCACGTGTGTGACTGTTGTTTGATCAAAAGGACTACAATTCAGGTTGGAATCGATTCCATGATGGAAACGGTCGACTAAGTCAATTGTGGGCAAGCATGCGTGTACAAAAATTCGAAATACAAGATTGCGCAGGCAAGCCAAGAGCTGCATGCTTTGATTCATTTTCCAGCTTCGCTTGTCAAACCTCACACATCAACAATCAAATCGTTGCCCTAGAATTACTGCTTCTGACTCCTCACAAAACAATCCTGAACAATCAACTCCTGTTTGACTCTTTATGGATCGTTTGGTTGTCTCAGTGAATTGAATGGAATTGAAATATTCCTCACAATTCTTGATTCGTTTTTTGTCAAACCTCACGCATCAACAATCAAATTGTTGCCCTAGAATTACTGCTTCTGGCTCCTCATAAAGCGATCCTGAACAATCAACTCCTCTTTGACTCGTTATGGATCGTTTGGTTGTCTCAGTGAATTGAATGGAATTGAAATATTCCTCATAATTCTTGATTCGTTTTTTGTCAAACCTCACGCATCAACAATCAAATCGTTGCCCTAGAATTACTGCTTCTGGCTCCTCACAAAGCGATCCTGAACAATCAACTCCTCTTTGACTCGTTATGGATCGTTTGGTTGTCTCAGTGAATTGAATGGAATTGAAATATTCCTCACAATTCTTGATTCGTTTTTTGTCAAACCTCACACATCAACAATCAAATCGTTGCCCTAGAATTACTGCTTCTGGCTCCTCATAAAGCGATCCTGAACAATCAACTCCTCTTTGACTCGTTATGGATCGTTTGGTTGTCTCAGTGAATTGAATGGAATTGAAATATTCCTCACAATTCTTGATTCGTTTTTTGTCAAACCTCACACATCAACAATCAAATCGTTGCCCTAGAATTACTGCTTCTGGCTCCTCATAAAGCGATCCTGAACAATCAACTCCTCTTTGACTCGTTATGGATCGTTTGGTTGTCTCAGTGAATTGAATGGAATTGAAATATTCCTCACAATTCTTGATTCGTTTTTTGTCAAACCTCACACATCAACAATCAAATCGTTGCCCTAGAATTACTGCTTCTGGCTCCTCATAAAGCGATCCTGAACAATCAACTCCTCTTTGACTCGTTATGGATCGTTTGGTTGTCTCAGTGAATTGAATGGAATTGAAATATTCCTCACAATTCTTGATTCGTTTTTTGTCAAACCTCACACATCAACAATCAAATCGTTGCCCTAGAATTACTGCTTCTGGCTCCTCATAAAGCGATCCTGAACAATCAACTCCTCTTTGACTCGTTATGGATCGTTTGGTTGTCTCAGTGAATTGAATGGAATTGAAATATTCCTCACAATTCTTGATTCGTTTTTTGTCAAACCTCACACATCAACAATCAAATCGTTGCCCTAGAATTACTGCTTCTGGCTCCTCATAAAGCGATCCTGAACAATCAACTCCTCTTTGACTCGTTATGGATCGTTTGGTTGTCTCAGTGAATTGAATGGAATTGAAATATTCCTCATAATTCTTGATTCGTTTTTTGTCAAACCTCACGCATCAACAATCAAATCGTTGCCCTAGAATTACTGCTTCTGGCTCCTCATAAAGCGATCCTGAACAATCAACTCCTGTTTGACTCTTTATCGATCGTTTGATTTTGACAGATCATTCATTATTTCATTACAATAAAGACAGATCATTCATTATTTCATTACTTGTCATTGGCGGTGGGCACATCATGATGTAGGTGATACTTGCTGGATCTCATTCTATTTGATGATTCAAAAGTTAGAGCTCTTGCTTTTTCCAATGGCGATGGATGGGAACGATGGATGGAATATACCAAAGCAAAATATTATGATGATAAAACGCAGAGATTCTGATGTAAGTGCACATTGAATATCTGTGCAAAGAAAGAATGGCCAACCAGGGATACCCCGCAATTTGTTGTAAAACCAGATTTTTCTCGTTTTTTAAGAGTCCATGTGGTCATTTTCACCCTCTTCTGCACGAAACTCCAATTAAAGGCTTTACTTAGGAAAAATCTGTGATTGCCTTCTACGACTTCTAATGTTTAACATTCACAAAACTCGTTAAGTAGACGAAATAAATTGGTTTGACTTTTCGACTTTGTATTATTTTGTTGTGGTCATCATTTACAGCAATTTGATATTCCGAAATTGCTGTAAATGATGACCACAACAAAATCATTGGAGTCGCCAGCAGTACATGCGCACGATTTAACTGTTTTTTTTTCAAATTAAAAAACTTCTCGAAATTGAATTTGAGCTTCTTTCTTGCAGTATGCATTCTTTGCCATCCAACATCACTTTGATTGCTACGTGCGGTGCCAGAAGACATCGGGATGGTTGAAAATGTAGTGACACCGGAACAGGCATGAGAGTTTGAATGGTCGACTGAAGGATTACAGAATCCTCTTCGATACATACCATCACGATCCTGATAATCATGTCTATGCTTTTGAAGCGGTGGCTGTTCTTGTCCAGTATGCGATGGACCATGGGCATCCTATCTTTGAAGCAAATACTGTACCACCAGAGTGAATAAACTAGATGTCCTACTGTTAGGTTATAGACTAGTACGCTGTAGCTATCTATTTTGGACAAGTTTAAAAAATCGCTACGCCTCACTTTCTCGTGCCTCCAATTTGTAATAACGTTTTCTTAACAGCAACAAGCAGTCCTTCCTTTGTTGTAGTCATCATTTACAGCAATTTCGGAACATCTGTAAATGACTACAGCAAATTTACAGCAAATTTACAGCAAATTTACAGCAAATTTACAGCAAATTTACAGCAAAGTCTTTCTACGATTAGCTCTCACTTATGGAACACCATAAGTGTATTTCTGAGAAAGAAGTAATATCAAAGTCTTTGTAGTCATCATTTACAGCAATTTCGGAACATCTGTAAATGACTACAGCAAATTTACAGCAAATTTACAGCAAATTTACAGCAAAATTGTCGCAAGCGCACTTTCCTGTATAACCGTTTACCCTGGCCGCTTGAACTTGTGTAGCGACATACTGGCCTGGAATGCGCGCACGCAAGCCCTTCTTTGATGTAAATTTGTTGTGGTCATCATTTACAGCAATTTCGGAACATCTGTAATGACTACAGCAAATCTACAGCAAATCTACAGCAAATCTACAGCAAATCTACAGCAAAATTATGTTTATAAGAAGATATTTTTAATATAGGTCCGAATATCAAAACACCACCAGGACGTGAAGACATTAAATAACGATTCAGTTCTTTTTAAAAAAAACAGATTTTTGGCTCGTTACCCCTGCAGCAAGAGTGAGAAAATCGTTCTGTCGCGCATGCGTGCCCAGATTCACAGCAAATTGCGGCATATCCCAGAAAAACATAGAACGTTTCACTCCAAGACAGGTTGTCCAGTTTTCAATGGTAGAAATAGCCTTGAGATATTTTACTGCAAGGTCTTTGAATTTGAAGGTCACCTCAACAAGAGGCAAGACTCCGCCTACCCATAGTCGTCTTACATGAGTGAACATGATATTGCCAAGCTGAATACTTTTGTGTGAGCTACATCGTGGACGCCAAAGAGAAATATGCCATGGTGAACCGACAGCACCAAACACTTGAATTCAAAAATCTCAGCAAATATACAAAAGAAAAAGCCACCGAATGGATCTCTGAGTAGGTATGATCACTGCGAAGATTTCCAGCACATGTTGAATATGAGGCCTTGGCCGTTTTGACCTTCTGCAGACCAGGTTGTGCAACCCAACAGAACATGTTGGACGAAATATGGTAGAATGTAGTGTAACTGAGGCGAAAAAAAAGGGTGAATCGCTACTCCAGTCATATTCCATCTATCACATATGCTTGCAATAGCATTTTCTTCAGCGTTTACTTCTCTGGGCGCCCACACCGGCTTGTCAAAAAGGAAGGAAACAATTGCATCATTGCACCTTGATGAGCACCAAATCGTCAATTTTGGTAGAAGAGGTAACGCGAATGAATTTCCGTTTAGCTCTTGTCTCGTTGGATATGGCAATTGCTCATCCTTCTCAATTGCTTTGGATTTCGCAGACTCCAATTGGGCCTAAAAGAGTTTCAATGATGTTTTTGGGCTGACAGTTGTTACTAGCTGTTGGCCCCCAATCCCCAAGCGCAAGCGCTGGTTTCCTCCAAGGGTGAGGTGGGACTAGGGTAATCTTAATAACTATCTATTCCTAGACTTCAAATTCACTCTGTCAAATACAGAGCAGTCTTTTCAAAAGGAATGAGCTGCAACTGAGCTGCAGCTCATTCACCAACTTCTTTCACAACCTCTTTGGTACGTAGCTTTCCACTGTCCTGCTACTGTACCTTCTTTGCATACGTACTTGGGCGTTCCGATCAGTCCGTCCTTCGCTAGCCAACACCTGCAGCGATTGCTCATCCTTCTCAATCGCTTTGGATTTCGCAGACTCCAATTGGGCCTAAAAGAGTTTCAATGATGTTTTTGGGCTGACAGTTGTTACTAGCTGTTGGCCCCCAATCCCCCAGCGCAAGCGCTGGTTTCCTCCATTCGGCCATCTTGTTGCCGCCCAGGGTGTGGTGGGTGGGAAAAAACGCTAGTGCCCGACGTGATCAACAAGAACATCGGTCAAGCGTTGCATCAAAGGCTCGGACTGGGTGTGAAGATACCGAAAAACTTCATCGGAGCGCCACCGACCGAGTAGTTTGATGAGACTAGTCGGGATATTGCCTTCCAGAAGCGCGGTAGCCCCGGTGCATCGAAGAGCACCGATTGTGGGAGGTCGATCGACCTCCACGGAGAGAGCAACTGCTCTCAAATATTTTGTCATCATTCGATCTGTGACATTGCAAGGGACTCCAAACTCGGAGTAGTAGGTGAACAGGGGGGTGTCGCCAGTTGTGTGTTGACTCTGTCGAAGGTGTCACAATGGCAATCAGCGTAGCTGTTGGGTTGTCACCATTTAATGACGTGCCCAAACCGATCTTTTTGTCTGGCACCGCATTTTTTTGTTTGTCAAATATCAGACCGGCGAATGTCACAAGTGACGTGTCCAGGAGGCGAAGGGGAATGGCGTCGCCACGAAATTCTGCGTTGTTAATACGAAAAAACACTTGCTTCAACTTGAAAGGAAATTGCGTTCCCGCTTTTGACAGAAATTCGCCAGGACGTAACAAAAAGAAAAACCCCAACCACATCAATTGATTCATTGCCTTTGCGGCCTGTGTACTTGTGGGTTTTTTGGCAAGCTTTGATGCTTGCCTTAACAAGGACTTTGGCAATGGGCGTACTCGTTGGGCTGCTGGATCCTCTTTCCTCCAACTTTTCAGCAGCCGTGTCCAACGAAAGTCCATTGTTCCTGGTGCGTATTGGTTCATCCTCGGATCGAGCAGTCCCAATGAGGAAAAGGCCTGGCCCATCTGGCGCATGGCATCTTCAGCCGTTCGACCCCGGACCTGTCTCTTACTGGGGGCAATTTTCCCACGTCGCCATTGGGTTCCAAAGAGGAGGATGATGAGCAAGGGATCGTCGACCGCTGACAATCCTGGGTCGATGGTGAGGCTGTCGCAGAAGGCAACCCATGTGGTCCAAACAGAGTGTGCCTTTGCAACTCTTGAAGGACAGACTCCGCGTTCGATTCTGAGTTCAACAGCACGGATGTCATCAAGGAGTTCACGGCGTTTGGCATCCTGTACAGTTGCCAAGAGTTGATCTGTGGATATGTGCGATTAAAATATGAGATAAATTCGGCGTCAGACAGGTGCCACAGTCGGCTAGCATCGTCGGCCATTCGATTGTTTGTTCCAGATAAGTGCCCAATACGATGATGTGCTCTTTGTTCCCGCTGTAATCCTGCCGCTAACCGTAATATTCTCGCTCTTGCCTTTCGAGAGGTGGATGATCCTTTTGTGCGCCATGACACTGCTGGTGTGTTATCACAGCCAGTATAAGTGGTTTCGCCTTCCACCTGAGCGGTCTTCCCAAGGACAAAATGATGGAGGACGGTACCTTCCAGCTCCAAGTCTGAGTTGGTAAGTTTTCCTGTCAGGTTTTGATCGGAAATAACCTCTTTTTTCACTGCTTCTTGGTATGGTTCGCGCCAGACGATGGCCTCTCCATCGTCTGTGAACCACACTCCTCCCCTTCCGGACTTTGCTGCATCGCAAGCGCCAACGTGTAAGTCAACGCCTGGTACCAGTTCTTCAAGTGTTGTGGGGCGCTTCGCATGGCCATGAAGAAAATCTTGGAAGATTTCCAGTTGCTCACGGACCTCAGGAGTCAACCGCACCCTACAATCCACCTGTCAAATCAGTGCATCCTGCAGCAGGGAGAAATGTCCCTCACTGCCCGACATTCCTGGCTGCAGGCTTTGTAAGACTCCTAACACCTGTTGCCATCGTTTCAGGGAGACGCGTTTGCAATCCAAGACCTTGCCCAGGAGTGACAGGGCCTTGCTCACTCGTTTCTCTTTCAATTGCAATGTCTTTGTTGTTGCTCCCCAGTTCCAACCCAAGGCTTCTTTGATTGTGTGCCAAGAGGCATCTCCCTTGGCCATTTTCGATTGTGACTGTGGCTCTTTTCGCCACTGATTGTCTGTGGGTCGATTCGGTCGGAAGACCTTGTCGATGTTGTGGCTGAGGACGGCTCGTTGATTTGTCAAGGGATTGCTTGGATGGTCTTGGCCCATTCCAACAAAATCGTCCACAAATACTTCCATCTTCTTCAACGGGCGCTGGTAAGTCAGTGGCTGGTGAGATTTTGGTATAGGTCTCACTACTTGTGTGTCCCTCACTTCAAAGTCAGTGATGGCTGCTGCCTTTCCCAAAGGATGCGGTGGCACTCGCTTGTTTTGTTGCAAGTCAACATTTGTCAAGTCGGCAACGGTTTCCGTGAAAGCACAAAACCATGGAGGACTTTCTGTCCAACCCATTGGAAGCACAAGTGGTAGTGCAACCAATTGTGGAAGTCCCTCAAAACGCGGTAAAATGACCCCAAGCTTGAGTGCGCCGGTCGTTGATAGTCGGATGCGGTAGAAACCATCCGACATGTCGTTCTTGTACATGTAAACTGGCCCATAGTCCAGGTTTGCCTTCATGAGTGCCTCGCGGATGCGTAGTGGGGCCGTGCCGAATTGCATAGCTCCCTCTGGGGCGAGTTTCATTGTCTCGTCATTGAGTCCCCAGAACGAATAATCAACAATCATCCGCGGTCTTCTGTTATCTTGTGGTACGCAGCCAATTGGAGAAAGGCGAAGTCCTTTCTCGTCCTTGATGGCGTCATATGGAAGTAGGATCCAAAATCCCTTCCTTCCGAAATCCAAAAACTCCTCCATCAGAAATTCTTTGAATTCGTTTGCTGATGAGTGACAGCCCCGAGCGACTCGCATGTCGAGTTGGCTCTGGCTCCATGGCTCCGAATGAACCACCACAGGAGCTCCATTTTTCATTACTCGGTGTAGCATTGGTGCGGGAGGGTGCGGAAGCTTATCAATATCTGGTGCAGCATCATCTGAACGGAATAAACGAGCAGTGACTTGCCAACTGTGTTTTAACTAAGTTTCATTAGCCAACGCAACCAGCTCACCTATAGTACTAGCACTACCTCCAATTAAAGTAGATCGTAACGAAAGTGGGTCCAATTGAGATGGCCTGCAAGAATCCGATGATTCCCGGCCTCCATCTCACTTATTCTTATGCACATAATCCTTCATTGCGGTTGCTTCCTCGTCAGTCAGCTTACAATGGGAATGCTTACGTTCACAGTTCTCCTTGCATTCGCCCTTTGTGTGCCAAATGAGGCACAGTTCCCTTCCGCTGGCGTGCTTTGGAGGCTGTTCGCCTGTCCGTTTGATTAACTCAGTAGTAGTTCGTCCGGTGTAGCGATGTTCTTCGTTCATGTCAGGATTTTTTACTGATTCGCCCAGGCTCTTCTTCTGGGCCCTTTCCTTCTCTCTCTTCAGCTGACTCTCAGTCTTGTCTCCTGTTCCACCAGGTCCTACAGAGTCCTTGGCGACAACAAACAAGCTTGACTCTGGTAGGCTTCCTCCATGGTAGCATGTCTCCATGTAGGTGCCCAAGTCTGGAAGGTTTTCTTCTGCGTTCGTGCCGGACCTCACCAAGCGCTCAAAGTAACGATCAATTCGGGAATAGATTCCGAAGAGAAACCGCTCGAGTGCTCGCTCCTGTTGGGACACTCCCATTTTTTGTGCGATCGAATCCACATTCTTTGCAAACTTTTCGTACACGGCTGTCAGTGGATGTGTTTTTCCAAACACTACCCGGTAGAATACCCGCATACCATTGACCATCTCACGGAACTCCATGGGATCCCTTGGGAAGATAGCGTGCTTGATCTTGTCGTGGGCTTGATGATCCTTCATTGACGCGGTCGTCTTTTCGCCCGTCAACCAGTAGTCGCTCTTGTTGTAATCGTTGATCGCGTTTGCATTTTTGTAGTGCTGGAAACAGACACTATTAAACACGTTCAACCCCTTTTCGATGTCGCCGCGCGAACAAAATTTTAATTCCACCATGCTCTTGATTACTCGGGCTGAAACGATGAATTCCAAATTGAGATTCAATTTTTCGGCCTCATCATCCAACAGGGACTGCACAATTCCAATCGATTCGTGCTTCTTGCACTTTGCTAGCTCGTGCCAGAGGATGGGAAGCTGCGCTGAGGTCGTAGTACCAGCAACTCTCTTCAGATAGGAGAGTCTGGTGGGCCACTTCTTTTCCACGGTATTTGGGGGCACCTTGTCCGATGCTTGTCCATGGATGCCCGCTACCACCACCTCCGAAAGCGATTCCACGGAGGTCTTTGTCGTCTTATTACTCTCCTCCAGGGCTGCCAAGGTCTTGGTGAGCAGTTCGTAGGTCTTGTCGGCGGAATCTCCAATTGAGTCCTCCGAGTCCAATCCGGCGAAATCCGAATTGATTACTCCGGAAACCCAGCGTCGGGCAGATGTCGCAGTGAGAACAGCAGGTTCTCCAACGTTCTTCGAAAGCTGATCTCTCCCGATGACCGTGTTTGCCACGCGCCAATGGTCCACAAAGTGCCGGAACTTTTCATGCACTTCCGAATTTTTTCAGGCTCCTCGCTGTTGGCGAGAATCTTGATTCTGTCAATCACCAATCGCAAGACTTCGCGTGCCGACGATCCGTCCCAAGCGATATCCAAGAACTCCTTGGGAATGGGCATTCGCTTGCGTGTAACCAGTAGGTCGTAGGCCGTCTCAGGGTCTTCGTCAGTGATATCCTCCATCACGAACAGCTTGGAGTGATCCTGCTCGAGCGCCTCGTTTATCAACCACGCCTCCAACTTTGGAACCTTAACCGGATCGGTTTTTGAGAAGGCCTTTGCCGGCCAAGAGAATGCCAGTGGGTCGCTCCCGTTCTCCAGAACGTCATGGTCCAGCACGTACAACTTATCGAAGTGCTGTTCTTTCTTTTTGCCAACCGTTGTGTACCTAATCATTGGACGATGCCAAAAATTAAAGTTGTTCACCTGTTCCTTGGGCCATCCCGTGTACCAGGCGGGCGCGCCTCCTTGTACACCCTTTTCGACAAGGCTGTTGAGATCTTGCAACTGAAGGTCCTTGGTGGGATCAAAGGCATCAAGAACCGCCTTGGAGTCATGGTTTGGGTAGCTCGCCTGGGTGGTGAGATAGCGGTAGCTCTTTTTGCGCACGGTGAAGTCCGTAATGGTCATGATGATGGGTGTTACAGGTAGAAGAGCCGTGTGCTTTCCTAATCTTAATAACTATCTATTCCTAGACTTCAAATTCACTCTGTCAAATACAGAGCAGTCTTTTCAAAAGGAATGAGCTGCAACTGAGCTGCAGCTCATTCACCAACTTCTTTCACAACCTCTTTGGTACGTAGCTTTCCACTGTCCTGCTACTGTACCTTCTTTGCATACGTACTTGGGCGTTCCGATCCGTCCGTCCTTCGCTAGCCAACACCTGCAGTGATTTTAGGTAGTTTAGGAGTCACCCGAACCGTCTGGCCTTTCCCAGTCAATCTCCATTTCCCGCCGAGAACCAAAACCTCACGCCGGCATACCCGCTCGCCGGCCTTCTATCCGTTAGATTTGAATTCATCATTCATTCACGGTTTCATCAAAATTACAATGAAAATGAAGGTAAGTTTTGGATAGGCGTTGCATCTCCTCCATACAAGTTTCTTACACAACTCTATTATCGCTCTATGCGCAGTGATGAGACGGATCGAATGAACTTGTTTGCCCTTCTCCAATCGGTCGACTTTCCTTTCCCTATCACTATCATGATTCAAGAGCTGTCAATGATGCCGACGGGAAAGAGATCTTGACGAACCAACGATACCCCACAAACTCAAGTAAACGATCTATGATATTACGAAAGATCTACGCTTGCGTCTCTTTGGCCTGTACATCCGCGAAGTTTTGAACGAGATTTTGTCATTTTGTTGTTGCCAAAACAATGTTCAGATGTCAACTCGTCAACAAGTCAAATGCTCTACTTTGCAAAGTTATCGACCTGTTAAGTATTGACTGAGGTTCTGCCATTCTACGTTGGCGCTCTTCATGTTTCTTTCTACGTCTCCTTCCTTGGCATTCATTCCGCGCCACTTCTGTTCTTCTACCATTCTTTCCTTTAACTGTTGCATGATTCAATGAATACATCCACACCTTGAATATACTAATAACATGAATTCTAGAAAAAGTACCAAAATAAAAGTACCACGTAGAATAAGATACCTGATACTCCTGTAGAATATTGATACTTCCCTGCTAGAAATCTTGCACCCGGACTATAATTTTCGCAAATTGGCACCCGGGGATGACAAGGACGCATGGTGCTATTGACCCGACTGCAGCTGGAGACCACGAGCCTACCGCTGAGCGAAACAATAGGACGCTGAAAGAAAGAGTCAGAGTAGCTCTTGCACAATTACCCTACAAAGTGGTCCCAAAGGTGATCACTGAATGTCTTGGACGTTGAGCCGCCGAGCTATTGAATGTCTTTCCCCAGAAAGACAGTATCTCATCACATTTCAGTCCGCAGCAACTCATTGATAATGTCAATATCAACTTCAAGAGTGACATGGTTGCTGAATTTGGACAATATGTTCATGCAATTGAGATGGATTCCAGCAATTCGATGGAACCCCGAAGTATCGAAGCGATATACATTGAACCTACAAAGGGACAACGTACTGGGCACTGAGTGCTCAACCTCAATACTAAGAAGATGATTTCCCACCCCAAGGTTGTGGTACTACCCGTTACGGACCAAGTAATCCAGCATGTTGAAGCTTGGGCTGCTGCTGAATGTGTTACTTCCATGAAGTTTTTTGATAAGAAGAGAGATTTGGAGACATTTCAAGATGGCAATCAAATTGCAGGAGTGGATGACACGGAACAAGGTTACTTAGAAGAAGCCTTTGATCAGGACTATGAACCTGAAGATGAAGATGAACGTGATTTCAATCTACGTGGACAATTCGATGATATCGATGACTCCAAAAGAGAAGAGCTCTTGGCAGATGCAGACAATGATGTCGATGATATGCCAGAACTCACTGTCAGATTCCAAGGAGATGATGACTATGAATCAGACGACGATTCGGGTGATGAAGGCAATGAAGAGGAAGAACCTATTGTGGCCGATTTGGATCACCATCAAGAAAATGTCGATAGAGGGACCGATGATATTGGGAGCCTCGTTACTGATCTGGAGGACCTACAAGAGCCGCCAGAAGAAGAGATTGTATTTGAGCCTGAAGAGCCTCAAGTAGCAAAAGTCACTCGATCTGGGCAAACGTATGCGCAAGCTGCAATGTCTGGGCTGAACCTTTCTCAAGTTCCAAAGAAACCAAGAGAATGGCCTTCAAGCAGGAGTGGCAGTTCTGCCAATAAGAACAAGAATTGAGTTGTGACAAGACGCAAGCATCAAGAGAGGGGATTGAAACGTTGAAGAACAAGTTAAAATCTGGTATTCGTACCAAAGAAGGAAGTCGCAGTACTAAAGACAGTAAAGCTATCCTTGAAGCACAGCACAATCTATGTTTCCAACAGATTGGGAATAAGATGAAAGCTGATTATGAAGAGCACAATGCTATTTTGATCGCTCGTTGCATGATGCAGATCAAGGCAAAGTTTGATACTGATGAAGGTCTGAACTTCATTCAACAGTATTACATCAACCAAGGACTGAAGAAGTTTGGTGATGATGGAAAGAATGCTGTGGATAAGGAATTGAGACAAATGCTCCTGAGAGATTGTTTCACTCCCAAATTTGTTAAAGAGGACATGTCCGTATCTGAGCAAAAGAAGGCCCAATCAGCAACGATGTTACTTGTGGAGAAGCAATTTGAAAAAACAATTAAAGGTCGCCTAGTATACTGTGGCAATGGAACTTGTGAATGGTTATTGCAAGAGGACACTGCAAGTCCAACTGCTTCACCACTACTTGTGTTATTGATGCACACAAAGGTAGAGATATAACGACACTGGACGTACCTATATGCCTGAAGTTAAGGAAGGAGAAGATCGAATCTACATGAAAATCACTGGAATGATGGTCCAGATATTGATTGACATGGCCCTAGAGTATTGCAAATGCATTGTTTTAGAGAACGGAAAGCAAGTAACCTATGTGCGGGTACTACGTGCTATATATGGGATGTTGCAATTGAGCCTCCTATTCTATAATTGGTTACAAAGTGATTTGGAAGCAAAGGGATTTGTTTTCAATAGGTATGACCCATGTGTTGCTAACAAAGTTGTTGATGCAAAACAGTAAACTATCAGGTTTCATGTTGACGATCTTATGTCAAGTCACATGGACCCAAAAGTAAATGACGAATTTGCTGAGTGGTTGAACATGAGATATGGTTCGATCAAGGCATGCACAATTGTCAGAGGAAAGATACATAGATATCTTGGAATGACTTTCGATTTTTTGGTGAATGGAAAACTCAAGATCCGCATGCGGCAGAAATAAATGAATATAGACTATAAGCCTATAGTTGACTAGTTTCTACAAGTTGATCGTTATCAATTCAACTAAAAAGCATGCAGTGAGATAAGCGATGATCCATCACTTTTCCACGGGAATCCTTTGATTTGTCAGAGAATTGCTGACTCAGTTCTTTTCTACTCTAAATTAATGGCGTGTAACAAATTGCGCACGTGTGATGCGTGCGGCGCACAGGCTACACTTCAACCTGGGAATCCTATAGGTCAAGTCACAAGTCCCGTTCCTGTTAGAATTCTGTCACTCCCCAATGGGACAAAGTGAGGACCTAGTCCTCTTGATCAGCAGTATCTTCAGACCAGAACATTAGAGTCGGTAGTAGTGTCCAGATTTGCTGATGACCCCAATGTTTGCTGAGAATATCAGCTGGGTTGAGAGCACTGTCAATATGGATAAAAGATAGCATGTTAGCTGCTACTGCTTCTCTCACACGGTGGAATGACAATTCAACATCTTGATTGTGTAGCTTAGCTTCAGGTAGGGAAGAACTGTTCATGACAGATTCATTGTCACCTAACATGTAGCTTTGACCTCTGATTAGCACACCAAGGTACCTCAAGGTTTGTTGGAGATCCATGATCTGTTTGGCACAGGTTTGAGCCGCTACAGACTCAGAACCAGAAGTAGCAGTCTTAACAGTTGACTGCTCCTTAGAGAAGAAATCAATTGAGGTTCCATTCAGTTTGTCAAGTTGAAAGACACCATTGTGGTCTTTCTGGATCTTGTAGTAGTACATACACTTTGGTGAAGTAGTGTGTAGCAATCTCAGCTTGACTTGATTGGGTGGACAAAGAAGTTTCTTCTTGTCCTTGACAATATTTCCAAGAAGTGTACAACCTTGACTTTCCAATAGGTTGTGGTTTCTAGCATGCATAGTGCAGGTCACTGAATCATCGGCTCCAGTGATGCTCAGTGGTTTCGGGGTATTCTCCCCATGTTTCCATCCAATGGCCATACTGTAGGTCAGACCCAGGTAAGAAGGGTGTTTAAGTCAAATGTAGTGATGGTGGCATACAACTCGCTTGAGCTTTCAAACAATGGGGTTGTCCTTGTCAATTTCTGACCACTTGTGGATGTTTTGGTAAGCTATGACACGTTCATATTCACCTTTGTCAATGTTCAGGCATAGTTCAATACATGCAGGCTGAATGTCCCTGTTGCAATTGTGCTTGTAGTTGAGCTCAACGATCTTAGCACCTTGAACATGACCTTCAGAGGATGACAACTTGCAAGTCAAGTCAATGAGTTTGTCTTGCTTTGGAGTAGACTCAATGACAAAGTTGATAGGCGTTTCAGGAACAAGCAGAACAGATGGTTGCCTGCCTGACTTGTAAGCTTCAAAATCTGGTGGTCTAAGTTGTGGCACATGGGCAGGGTCTAAATCAAATAGACCAGCCATGTTACATTCCAACCAATCAAGATCAGAAGCTTGTCCAGGATGTAGTTTGTACAGACCATTTGTTGCCATGACACAGTGATGACTTTCAATGAAATCAATAGCATCATCTAAGGCAGGAGAATCCTTCAGAGTACTGACTGTTGTGTTACTCTTAGTAAGGATGTCCACTCCATCAAATGGACTTTGTTCACCTGTAGACCCATCATCCGGTATGCCCACTCTATTAAATGGACTTTAAATGGACTTTGTTCACCTGCAGACCCATCATCCGGTACAGACTTGGCCCATTCATCAACATCAACTCCATCTTTGGCTATCTTGTGATTCTTCACCTCTTGAGTAGCTTTGCGATACTTGGTTGCTGGGACCAGAGCCAACTTGTCTGATTTGGTATATTCACTTGTTACAGAAGTCAGAGTATCTGCATCTTTACTCCTCCCCATGCTCGAGTGCTGGAACTGTGAGAGAAAATCAGTAGTAGTCGACATCTCATGTAAGTAGACAGAATGTTGGGGGGATGGAGGTGGTTGCGCAGGAGGCTGATTGTTGGAACCAGCAGCTTCTAACTTTGCAATGCAATGAGATGTCTTGCAAGGAAGTGTTGCCAAAGATGCCAGACAAGCTAGGTAGGCAAGAGGATCAGGCTCAAGGTCAACTGATGCAAGATCAGTAGCAACCGGCTCAACAAGACAAGGATACTGGACATGATTGTCGTCAAGGGTACCATGTCAGGTTTTGGTCTCTGGGTCAACAATGGGATCAGGCTCAAGGTTGACTGATGCAAGATCAGTAACAAACGGCTCAACAAGACAAGGGTACTGGGAATTTTCCTTGTCAAGTCCCATTCCAATGTGAGCAAACTGGGTCATGATTAATTAGCAGGACCGCGCTGAGTCATGGTGAGGCCGGCACAAGTGGCAATTGTAACATTGGTCACTTGATGATTGTCAATGCCTTGCACATCAACAGAACGGTTGGTTTTGACCATGATGCGGACATCATCACCTGCGATTCCACCATTTGCACCTTGATCAACTGGAGCTAAATCCTTGCGAGTGCTAACACAGAGAACGGAGTAGGTAATAGTGGTTGTACATGCTTTTTACCATACTCCATCTATGACAATCTTGTGGTTCTTAGATTCTTGTTTGCTGTTGCAATGTTTGGTTGCAGGAACCAAAGCTAACTTGTCTGACATGACACGTTGTAGCTCCCCAGGTTGTAGGGAAGATTGCTTGGTGACATAAGCTAAAAGTTTGTCAGGTGCGGGCTCTTCATTTGTTTCAGAAGTCAGAGTACCTACATCACTCCCCATGCTCAAATGCTGAAACTGAGAAAGGAAATCAGCGGCCGACATATCATGCAAGTTGACAGAACGGCAGGGGGGCAGTGGGGGTGGTGGTGGCAGCAAAGGTTTGTTGGAACCACCAAGTATGACAGCTTTAGCAGCTTCAGGAAGTTGATGCCAAACACTTTGACCTTGATCATCTAATTGTTGCCACAGTTTGGTAGGTAAAAAAGGTCTTGCGAGCAGATGACAAAGACGTGCAGTAAGCATAGTAGTCGCCAAGGATCATGTCAATTTGGAAGTCAAACATGGGAGGGCCAGGATCTGGTTCAAGATCACCAGTGGTGACAACATCAGTAGCATATGCCTTCCTAGGATCGGCCTTGGGCTTGGTTCCTTTGGTGACCTCATCATGGTTTTGGGCTGCTGCCTCAAGGAGTGACGCATACTCGTCAAAAGTAAGTGGTCTGTTGTTGTTCTGCAAGGCCACTTGTTTGCTACTGTCAAACACGTTGCGAAGGTATGGCACAAGTCTGACAGCATTGGATAACATGACGATGAGTTGCTCCTCAGGGGTCGTGTGTTTTGCTACCTTGTGGTACTGGCGAAGAGTATGGAGCCAATGAAGAATGAAGGACACATGACTACCGAGCCATCGGTCTGCAGTGAGTTGAGCAGTGGTCAACCATTGCAATTTGGTGTTGGCAGTCGAAGTGGCCATGATAGACTGAGTATAAAACTTGCATAGATCCCGGTAGATGCACTGGGCATCGTAAGTCTTATTGTATTGTCTAACAATCTTCTTGCCTTGATCGGTGAGGAGGGTCCGGACAAACACCTGATACAAGAAGGATTGATGTCTATCAAAGAGGTCTCGCTCATCAAGGCTGATGGGCTGGTACTTGGGGTCAAGGACCTGTGTCAATCCGTGAGTGCGACAAGTAGCTTCTAGATTAGGCCGGTAACTATCCCATTGCTTATCATCAGACAAAGTTGGATAGAGGTTGGCATCTAGTTTAATGCCCCAATCAAATTCTTCAGCTGGTGATCGTCTGGATGGCTTGGAGACAAAATTGATAAATGACTACTTTTGTTAAACAGGTCTAAACGTGTACCATGTCGGCTTTTGGTCTCGGGGTCAACAATGGGATCAGGCTCAAGGTCGACTGATGAGAGATGAAGAGTGAGACGTTTGCCATGAGGACTATCCCATTGCCTATTATTGGACAAAGTTGGATAAAGATTAGCATCTAAATGAATGCCCCGATCAAATTCCTCAGCTGGTGAACATCGAGATGGCTTGGAGACAAGAGGCTGTGGGATGGTGCGGCTGCAGAACACGATGAATGCGCTTGAGGCCCTGTATGTATCAAAATCATCAGGGTCAATGAGTATACAGTTAGACAGGGTGACTGGATCCTTGAGCACAGTTTCTTGGTGGTAGACGTAGCCACGGATCCCATGGAGATATGCCTTAAGTAATTTTGGCACATCCCAAAGTACATCAGGTTGTGGGTCACCGTTAGCATCACATGGCTGACTGACAGGATACTGTAGTCCGTCAATATCAGCATCATCCATGCAAAAAAGGTTGAGGTAACATTTCCAACTATACAAGTCAAGTGCGAGAGCCAAAGACAGTTTCCAGGATGACTCGAGACGGGTTGCGGTTTGTTGTTGAGTTGCCAGCAGTGGACATTGTCACTCGTGTGCCTGATGGTTGAGTAATACTAGTGGCTGTTAGAATAAAGCAAAATGTGCTCTATTGTGAGTGCCTTTAGCGCTCAGAACAATTTCTCTGCAATCTAAATTCGAAATCGATTGTATATTTTGAGTGAAATTGTTCCTATTTGATTAATATTTGGCTTGAATTGATAATTCAATCACAAAAGTAAGTTCAACAATTTTCCCTTGGAAAATCCCTTGTTTACAGAACTTGATTCGACCTCTACAACAATTCTGTGTTGGATGCAGTACTTTGGGACATCTTGTATTATTCCCTAC